ATACTATAATGCACTTAGGGGTTTATGTTTCCAGCCAGAAAGTCCAAAAGGCAGTTTCTGCCATTTAAGAAAAAAAATTGTGTGCATTTAAGCAACAGCTCAGTTATATTTAGCAGTGAGTCAATCAGCCACAGTTGACTGATCTTTGTTTAAAGGTAAGGATAAACCAACGTGAGATTTGTCTCTACCCCAAAGGACTCCTGCAGCCAGTTCCTGGGCTCAGGTGGCTCCTGAATTTTGCAGTTCAAGCTCAGATGGGCTTTGGGATTACTCAGTCCTGGTGAGCCTGGAAATCCTGGGCTGGCTGTACTGTACTGTACTGCTCTTTACACATTCCCTTCACTTGAACTATACATTTTTGTAGTTGAAAATTAACCTCCTTGAGCTTGCTGGACCCCCAGATACTCACTAGGGCTGCCACAGCTGCAGCTCTACATCCCCACTTGCTCCATCTCAATCTTCAACTCATCCTCATGTCAATGAGGCTTATTTTGCAGGCAGAGAATTAATAGAGATGTGTTTAAGTCATAATTGAGGCCTGTGATGGAACAGAGAACTGATATCCCCGTCTTGCTAAGCCCTGATTAATGCCCCAGATTTTCAGCCAGATTTGATAAGCTAATCATTAAGATGTGACAAAAAAAAAATCAGTTCTTATCTCAGGAAAGCTACCAGGAATGGGATTGCATGTTCACAGTTCCTAGGGAATGGCTCCAAGATTTTGCTGTGAACTCTAATATGTGTTTCCCACCTGAAAAGCAGCAGTTGGGGCACCTCCCTCTCTCATAAAGACCTTCTCCCACATCTGGGCACTGTGGGGGAGTCAGACTGGCACTATCTGTAATATCCAATGGATTGAAGAAAGTTCTGCTTTCAAGATTAAGTTTAGATATCTCTGATATTCACACAGGTATTCAATATTGGGGTATTCAAAATAAGACACCCAGATGTGCTACAACCCATCGTCAGAACGCAGCTGGGGCCAGCAAACCAGTCGCAGCAGCCTCTGGACTTTTCCACTGGAAAGCCCTGATGCTTACATCACAAATCACTAATCAATAAATACATTACCCCAAATACATTGGTACTACTGTCCACACTAATCAATAAATACATTACCCCAAATACATTGGGACACCCTACTGTCCGGTGGGGCACTTCCCTTCCTCTCCCTGATCTCCTTTCTGATTCCTGGGAGAAATTTTCACAGGCAGGGCTTTATCATGCAAATATCTCAGGTGCTTAATGGGACGGTCTTTATTGTGTTATATTTCACAGTTTTGGTCACAGTGCTTTTGTAACATTGTGAAGGAAACAGAAGTTTCCCTGCTCCACACCTGCAGGGAGATGCAGTGACCCTGGAGCAGAGGTGCAGGACAGGCTTAAGGAGCTCATGGGAGCAGGAATTCAACCACAGGTGTTGAGCATTTCTATGTAATTTATGCACTTTTGGGCTGAGGGGAAGGTTTGATTCAGTAACTTGCCTTCACTGGCACAGCAAATCTGTCAAACCCTGGAGTGTATCAGGTGGCCTGGATTTGAGTCTTCACTCATTGCTGTGTCACCTCCTGTGCTGCTTCAACACCACAGCTTGCTGTCACCCAGTAATTTCAGGATTTAGGTGCTCACAAGGCTTTAGACCTGTGGTCCTGCCCATCCAGCAGTTCCCAGCCCAAACCCTGTGTCATCTGCCAGCACTGACAGCTCTGGTTTGGGATCATGATGTTAAAACAAGCTGTTGGAAGGGTTGGCCAATGCCAGGGTAATCAACATCATGATGCTAAGACAGAAAATGGTGGATGGGAAACAGAAGTTTCCCTGCTCCACACCTGCAGGGAGATGCAGTGACCCTGGAGCAGAGGTGCAGGACAGGCTTAAGGAGCTCATGGGAGCAGGAATTCAACCACAGGTGTTGAGCATTTCTATGTAATTTATGCACTTTTGGGCTGAGGGGAAGGTTTGATTCAGTAACTTGCCTTCACTGGCACAGCAAATCTGTCAAACCCTGGAGTGTATCAGGTGGCCTGGATTTGAGTCTTCACTCATTGCTGTGTCACCTCCTGTGCTGCTTCAACACCACAGCTTGCTGTCACCCAGTAATTTCAGGATTTAGGTGCTCACAAGGCTTTAGACCTGTGGTCCTGCCCATCCAGCAGTTCCCAGCCCAAACCCTGTGTCATCTGCCAGCACTGACAGCTCTGGTTTGGGGTTATGATGTTAAAATAAGCTGTTGGAAGGGTTGGCCAATGCCAGGGTAATCAACATCACGATGCCAAGACAGAAGATGGTGGAATGAAAAGCCAGGGCTGCTCTCCTGGGTGAGGGAAGAACCCATCCCCTACAGCACAGCCACAGAACACATGCAATGAGTGGGCAGGTCACCCCTAAAACATATTCCCCAAGACACATTGTTGTCCTGTGAATAAAAAGAAATCTCTGTCTCCACCTTAAACATATCTAACTCAGCACTCGGGCACAGCTGGGGTGGGGTTCTCTCCCCTCACCCCCCCCAGATCAATGGAAGCTTCCAGTCTCAGCCTTGTCCTCTTGGCAATGGGGAGTGACAGGCAGGACCTACCCCACCGTGCAAGGTGCCACGGGCCCTCTCCTGCAGCACATCTTGCCTTCTTTTGAGAGAACATGGATGATGGCTTCACCCTAGAAATCTGGCATTCAATACAGTTTTGCCCCAATTTCTAAGCAGATCAATAGACACAATCCCTTCAGCACAAATGTGGCTGATGCAGAGATGGCAACAGGGAAACATTTCTGAGTCTGGCAACGAGCATAGACTTTATTCCACAAAGAGAACAGATAAGCAGAAGAAGCTTTGCCACTGAGGAGTTCATCCCCATTCCCACCCATTGCCACTACATGCTGTGTGAGCACAGTGATGGTATACAGTTTTGCCCCAATTTCTAAGCAGATCAGTAGACAGAATCCCTTCAGCACAAATGTGGGTGATGCAGAGATGGCAACGGGGAAATATTTCTGAGTCTGGCAATGAGCATAGACTTTTTTCCACAAAGAGAAAAGAAAAGCAGCAGAAGAAACAGCTTTGTCGCTGAGAAGTTTATCCCTGTTCCCAGCCATCACCACTGCACGCTGTGCGAGCACAGTGATGGTGAAGCCCATCATCTGCAACGTCCCTGCCTTGGCTAAATTTCCAGTATAGAGAGTCATGGCATTCACACGGGAAATGCAGATGAAAGCAGGAGGTTGAAGTCAGATCCATCCATCAAATCCTGATGATAAACACCCAGGGTCTCACCGGATAGAGGTAAAACTCCGGAAGAACTACTGTGGCTTTAGAGAGGTCAGGCATGATTTTGGCAATGAAACAAAACCTAAAAATCACATCATAATTTTTGAAAACCCCATGTGTCATAAGATGGCCATTCTGCTTCCAGACCTAAAGAGAAGTTTGTTGTATTTTCTCCATAAAGCAGTAGGGAAGAAGGACATTGTGCTAAGGGCTTTGCATGATGAGATTGATGACCACGAAGCATACAGAAAGAAAAAAAAAATGGAAATCACAGGATTTAGACAAAATACTGACATGGGGATATGGGAAGAGATAAGAGAAAAACAGACAAGAAAAGTTAGTGGGGAACCGGGTAAATTATCTCTGGAGCTGCAGATCTTGAAATTCCAGCCTAGAATCTGCTGTTGGTTTAATAGATGCCAGCAGCAACAGAACTAAATTTGTACCCTGTTTTATTCCAAATCTATGGCAATCGAACCAGCAGTGTTCCCATGCTGCTGTCTTCTTAAAATACAGTAAGAAACAAAACTACAGAACAGGGTGAATTAGCTCATCATCACTAACTTTCAGTATTTGACACATCCACCAATCCTGTAAAAGATAGGAGATCTAGAGTGAATCTTGGGAGGATGAATTTTAATCTAGAATAAGCTTAAAATTAGGATAAGAGGCTTTTGGTTTACTTTCAGAGAGGCAAAAGGAGTGCTAGAAAACTAACACTATGGTAAATCCCAGCCAAGCTGAAATGGTGAATTATTATCCTATTAAAAAGCATTGTTGGCTTTCTTTACCCAGTTGGTACGTTTTTACTCTGCTGGGTGAAAGAGAAAGGAAATGTCTTAAATTGCTCTTCTCCTTGTGTACGCTCTGCTCTGCTCATTGGCTATTTACTTCCAGCATTATTTACCCTCATCTGGAAGATTTTTTCGAATTGTGCTTTTACTTGCAGCTCTGGCGTGATTATGGTAATCCAGAAAATAGCTACTCTAAGAGTAGCTGGGAAAATGCACCTTTACATCTCAGGTAATTTTAACAAGGAACTGGGCATCCTGGGCTGCATCAAAAGAAGTGTGGCCAGAATGATGAAGGGGGGGGAATTCTGCCCCTCTGCTCCGCTTCAGGGAGACCCACCCCTACCCAGGGCTGCCTCCAGCTCTGGGGCCACCAACAGCAGAAGGACATGGACCTGCTGGAGTTGGGCCAGAGGAGGCCACGGAGGTGCTCCAAGGGTTGGAGCCCCTCTGCTGTGAGGACAGGCTGAGAGAGTTGGGGGGGGGTTCAGCCTGAAGAAAACAAGGCTTCAGGGAGACCTTCGAGCCCCTTCCAGTCCCTAAAGGGGCTCCAGGAAATCTGGGGAGGGACTTGTGACCAGGGAGGGAGCGTTAGGACAAGGGGGAAGGGTTTTAGACTGAAAGAGGGGAGATTGAGATGAGATCTGAGGAAGAACTTCTTTGGTGTGAGGGTGGTGAGAGCCTGGCCCAGGTTGCCCAGAGAAGCTGTGGCTGCCCCATCCCTGGAGGGGTTCAAGGGCAGGTTGGAGGGGGCTTGGAGCAACCTGGTCTGGAGGGAGGTGTCCCTGCCCAGGGCAGGGGGTGGCACTGGATGGTCTTTAAGGTCCCTTCCAACCCAAACCATTCTATGATTCTATGGCATTTGAGTGAAGCCAAAAGACAAGTTGCACATCTGTACTGTGTCCTCTGTCCATCCGGGCTCTCCCGGCACAGCGACTCCTCACCTGGGGTCCCCAGCCGTGGCACGGGTACAGTATTGCTGTGTGGTTCTCCTGCGGGCCCTGGTCAAGGCAGACGTCTTTCGCCTTGTTGTTTCGAAGCTGTAAGAAATCAAAAGTGCAGAATTATGTGGCCCCGTCTCCTCAGAGATCAGCAATAAACTGATGTGCAGCAGTTCCTCTGGCCTCTCTCTTGCTATAGAAAGAATATAGGGGGCTGTATCACTGGGCATAATCAGGCAGAGAAAGGCTCAGTGTGCCATATGTTTTCTTTAAATACAGGGCCTAATGATGACTGCTTTTATGTAATAATCACCACTCGAAGGAGCCAACTTCCTTGAACACAGTTTTCTTTGTATTTGGTCATGTGTGGTGGTAACAAACATATTTTTAGACTGCTGCCAGCGTGTTGCCAGGAGCCTGAAACCAATGCAGAATCGCTTGCATTTCATCGAAATCTCAACGTGCTCAACAAGGTCGGGAAAAAAAAGTCTGGCCAGCACAAGGAGCCCCTTGGAATCATCGTGGGGATGAAGCCACAGAAGCAGAGATGGCAAACCAGCCGTCAGCTACTGAAGGACACACTTTGGAGGAACATGGAAGTGCTGGGTTCCTGCCACAAAGCCAAAGGGCTGCTGGACACAGCCACCAGAGCTGTCCTCTCGCCAGGCTCCCCACGAGGGCACCTGCAATAACACCTCTGCAAATACTGCTTTTTCGGAGGTTTATCTTGAAGGCACTAAGTAACTCAGATAATAAATCTTTCTTAAAGTTAATGCCCATCTGGGGTGCTTGGGCTGCGCTTCAAGAAGCCTTCTCAAACTGCCACTATTCCATGAGACCTATTGCAACAGAGCATTATAAGTCCCCATAAATGCCTGGTTTAAAGTTCCCAGTATGGTCTCAAAGCCGGCAGAGATTGAATTAAGTCTCCTTACTTTATCTCATCCTTAAGCTGTTGTGACAACACGCTGTATCCTACAGAGACTTTGTAAGGAATTAGGCTGAGTTTAAGTCAAAGGGTTTTATAAAATAAGTATGTATTAAAAATATACATATTTTTATGTATATTATCAAAAAGGTAAGGAATTAGGCTGAGTTTAAGTCAAAGGATTTTATAAAATAATTATGTATTAAAAATATACATACAGCTGCTTAATCCATGGAGTCAATGGGTAATATAGATAATTTTCTGTCAATTCAGTAAATGAGGTATTAAAATCTTTTATTGTATATGGCCTCCAAGATCAGAAATAAATCCCAAAATAAGGTTTTAGAAGAAACTGTGACCAGATTTGTACAAATTTATATAATTATACACAAATAGTAGGTTTTGACTCGCATTCCTTTCCTTTGAGGCTATTTCTCATCAGAGACTCACCAGCTGTAAATTCTCAGCTCTAATTACCTCGCCATAAGCGATGGTGTTGTTGTATCTTCTCATTTCCGGATAAACGTGGTCCAGGTACCACTGGAAATTTTTACACTTCAAGCTCTTCCTTAACGCTTTTCTCTCAGAAACATCCCCAATGTCAATACCTGGATTCTGAAAAACAAATACACAGCACATCACTGAATGGATACTCTTAAAAAAATTTTAAAAGAGCGTATTCTGTTGATGTTTGATATTGTTTCCAAGTCGCCTGGCAACTGCCAACAGCTGAGTAACTTCACACAGAGGCCATGCCAGGGAATTTTAGCATCTGAGTCCAGGCTGAAATCATCCTCACAGAAGTCAGAAGAAGACTTGGGTTTCACAGCCACAGAGAGGAGGAGATGCAGGGGTTTCGAAGGCATCCTCGCCATGGCCACTGGACACTTTTTTTGCCCTGGGAAATAATTTAGAAAAGAGAACCCAAATGGAGAAGAGAAAGTTTTGGAGGAAATAGAAGTGCATTGTAACAGCGGTGAATCTTCTCACCAATTCCCCTGGGCTTTGGATCCACCTGAGAAAGACTGAAGCTCTCAACGGGAACAGTGAAAAGTATTTTTGAAAGATCTCACCTCCTGTTTAGGCACCGACATACAGGAGTTCCAGAGGAGCTTAACAGTAAATGTACATCAGGATTTAAAAGATGGTCATGGGCTGAGTCCTGGCAATGCAAACCCCTGTCTGAGCACCGAGCACCAAACCCGTCTCCTTACACACCAAGGTGTGTAACACAGAAGACAGCATGGTTAAAAGGGATAAAATACTGGGGGGAAAGAAAAAAAAGGGAGAAAGGTTTAAGATTCGTATGTAATAAAGGTGTCCTGGTTTGAGGTTTTTGTTCAGAAATTTTACTTTTTCAAATCAAGACCTTTATTTTAATCCTGTGTCTTTTGATTGCTTAGCAGACATTTAATAAGTAACTCTGAGATACATAGTCTTTATTTTGCACAGTAGTGTCATGTCTATCATTAAGAAGCAAAACCATTTTTTGTTTCTTCTACCACCATAACGGCTGCAATCTGAGTAGATTTTCAGAGTTTAGTTAGTTAGAAGAGGCCCAGCTGAAAAAGTAAAATTACTGAACGAAGAATTAATTCTGGTTTACCTCAAACCAGGACATGAGGATAAGAATAAAGGATAAAAATTACAGGAGAAGAGACGTTGAGGCTAAGCCTCAGAAAAATCTCTTGACAATTTGGACAATTACCCGGTGGAACAGTCTCCCTGGAGACACAGAGGAACCCCACTGCTCCAGCCCATTTGGAAGCTGACAAAGCCTTGATATCTGTCCCCAGAGGAAAAACTTACAGGAGCCGGGAGCGGGGGCTGAAGAGACCTGCCCCCCTTTAACCTTTTATTCCATTACAGAATTTGGGGAGCTCATGCAGCAGCCGGGGGAAGGAAACCAAAGGCACATTGCAGTCCCTTTTACTCCTTCCTACAGGTGTCTGGGATTCTACTCTATTTCAGCTCCTGCTCTTGTCTTTTGCAGTGATCATTAAATACAGCTGGGAAAGCAATTTTCCATTACAATGCTTGTAATGATCTTCTAATGAATTATTCACTCTGCTTTAGCGAAGACACCGTTTTAATGCGCGACTGGTAGCTCATAGGTAAAAATAAAGATGATTCAGTGCAGACAGGTAGGACAGGCTGAAATCTGAGTGGGGGAGACGGGACGCAGAGCAAAGCGGGGCCACAAACCACTCAGCACCTGAAATATTCAGCGCAGGGGGTTTGGCTTGGTTTTGAATATAGTGGCATCGCAAAATAATTCAGTGTATATCCATAACCCCCTGCACAATGCCACCTGTCAAACAAGGCTTTTTTAAAATTAAATCTCAATTTTACTAGACCTATATAAAAAGACCTATATAAAAATCCCCAATCATATTCAGGGTAAGCCAGACCTGTTTCCCCAGACTGATTTGTGTGATGCCGCCTTTTCCGAGCCGTACAGGACCTGTGGCTTCTTGAAGAATTTTAATCCCTTTTTGCCACGCTCCAAAGCTGTTCCTGAGCAAGAGCATGGTGCCTCACCTCTGAGAAGGAATCAGCCCGAGGATCCGGGCTGAACCCACAGAAATTTATGAAATTTATGAGTGTTTGGATCTTGTAACCTATTTTTAAGAAAGACCTGAAATCACTCGGTTCTGCAGGAAACTCTCTACCTCCCCTAACGCTTGGAGCGGTGCCATCACAGCCAGTGCCCCCCCCTGCAGCTCGCTGGGTAAACAGCTTTTCTTTCCATCACTATCCATCTATTTCTCAATAAGGAACTAATCCAGGGCTCCCCAGCACCCCCAGGACGACAAACCGGCAGCTCATCGACCCTTCCCTGGTACCTGTTGCTCCCTAATGCAGTACGAAGGTGCCATTACCGTGGCTCGAAATGCCAGAAACTCTCCCCAGATGGAACCTTTCCTCAGAAAGCAGCAGCAGCTCATGTTTTTTTATGTTTTAATGTTTTTCAAAAGGCCCCGGAGCTGCCAGCCGGGGACGCTGCCGCAGCAGGATCAGGATCCGCAGCAGCTCTTTGCCAAGGGCTGTGATCTGCGAGGTGTGAATATTTGGGGTTTATTTTTAGCACCAAAAGGGTGGCTGTAAAGAGGTGGCTCACAGGAAGGGTCTGGCCCTTCGTGGCAATGGATTTTCCTCGCACTTGAACAGGGCAGCCCAGCTCGGGATTAAGTTCACTGCAAGTTGGGTGGGTGTCGGGGAGCACCCTGAATCCTCATCCCACCCATCACCCGGACAATATCCCTGCCTCCCCCTCCCCACCAGCCCTTCTTCTCCTCCTGGCAGGACCAGAGGCAGGAGAAGGGGGGACTGGCCCAGCCAGGAGAGCTCCCAGCACACTCTGGCAGTGGTCAGAGCCGGGAGGCAGGAGATGCTCCTGGGTTTCATGATTAGACATAACCTGCACGGAGACCTGAGCCCAAGCAGCAGCCTTGGACCTACGTAAAGTCTTCCTGGGGCCTACAGAGCTTTACTCAGAAGCGCAGGGAATCACCTAGAGAGGTCCACGTGCAGGATGTGTCCCCCGGGCCTGGTCAGCTTGTCTTGCTGGTGGGATCCCGTGGTTTTCCAAAGACACACCATGCTGTGACATGGCAGACTTATGAAAAATAACACGTCAGATCTAAGAAAACCTAACCATTTCTGTGCAGAAATTAATTATAAACACCAAAGCTGTTTAGAGAGTGTTTCTGGAGCACTTGCATGTGGTGCTGCTGGGAGGGGATCTCCTGTGAGCCACCAACCTCCAATCCTTTACTTCTGAACACTATTTCTAAGGGCTGATGGCCTCGATTTTCCCAATGCTGGGAAAGCAAACGGCCAAGGCACCTGGACCACACACTGTCCACAGGGAGCTCTGGGCAGTGACAGCATCTTCCAGCCAGGAAACCCCAGTGGGCCTGAGCACGGACCTGCCTGAGCCACTGGGAAAAACCTCCTGCACTAATGATGCTGATATTAATAATCTTCTGCCAATCGACTTTACAGACAGACTCCATCTGCAGAGCAGTGTAATGACATAAACTCACGCTGGGTAAACACTCAACAGGGAGATAAACACTACAATACAGGTTTAATTTTTAGAAACAAAAATAAAAAGGCTGATGTGAACAGTAGGAAATCCTCCAAAGTCTGCAGGTTTGGCAGCATCTTGCTCAAAGCCGAGGGAGCTCTGCTGACTCTGGGGATAGGACCCAGGGTATTTAAGGCTCTTCTTCACCCGGGGGCACTAAATGCTCTATAATTCAAGTTTTTAACCTAAATGAGGGCTTAGCAGAGGGTACAATGGCCGTACCTCCAGCGGCAGGTTCCACGCGATGTAGACGTGCGATTTGTAGTCGTCCATCCACACCTCGGCCACCCGCAGAGCGTTGCGCTTGGTGTAGAAACCGATGTTGTTGTTGTAGGGCTTCTTCTTGCGCTCGATGTGAGCCACCCTGGAGCAGGGCAGGACCTCCATGCTGCCACCACACAGCCACACCTGCAACACAACCACACAACACCCTCAGCGCCGGGTCACAGGAGGGTCCACACATCGGTTAAAAGAGAAAGAAGTGGAAAGAAGTGGTGGGGTTTGAGGTTTCCATAATATCCTGGTGAGTGCAGAGCATTGCATCATCTAGCTGGCAAGTGGAAACCCGTGGCCAAGTTTGGTCTATGCTGAAAGGTGAGACACGTGTCACCTTTAGAGGGACCCGGTATCCAGCACGTGGTATTAACGCCCTGTAGGATTGGGTGCTGAGTTTATGGTGATGTTGCTACTAAATAAAAAGGATTAGCGACTGGAATAGTTGAAACAATTGCAAGACCTCCTCCTGCAGAAGGGATGACTCAGTGAAACATATGGCAGGGACAGATTTCTCCTGCTTGAAAACATTTGTTCATTATTTTTCTTTCACATGCTGTTTAAAATTCCCTTAAATTACAGTTTACAAGTTAATAAAATCTTTTGAGATCTTCTTTTTATCATGTGGAAAGGGAACTCAGAGAAAGACATGCCATACCTGGGTTCTTCCCTCCCTGTTGGACTTCACCAAGAAGTTATTTATCTTAAATTAAAGATGCATATCCAGGACACCAGGCACCGTGCAGTCATTACAAACACATATGCCAAACAGGCCTAATAATCCCAGTTCTGCCTATTTTGCAGCCTGCTCCGCATTATCATTTTGCTCAGTTGTTACAACACCCATCGTTTCTGGGATCTGGTCCAGGCTCACCACCTTTTATCCCATCTGTGTTCCCTAAATTTTACCGACCCTGCTCAATCCGCTCTCCCGGCAGCACCAGGAGCCTCCTGGCTGTATCAGCCGCCCTTTTTAATCTCTCAGTGGGGGCTTTATCCCACCCAACACGGGGCACGGGCACATCCCAAGCCCAGGAGACACAAGTAAGGGGCAGTGCCGCAGGGAGACGTCTTTCCCTGGGGCAATCCTGCTGCTTCTACTGTTCTTGCTTGGATCACTACAGATTATAGCAGCCCACACCAAAAAATCAGAGCCCCCGCTTTATTAAGCTGGTGCATCAACACATAGCAAAAAAAAAATGTCATCTTGCCCTTGTTCTGCTGTTTGACTTTTCTGAGCACTTTAAATATAGTTTTGCACCTCCAGAGTGAATTCAGAGTTGATGCCTGAGATGAGGGCCACGTCCATCCCTCCTATCGAGGTGCAACCATGCTCACCTCTGGCCAGAAAAGCTCACAAAGTCTGCTCAAAGTTTTGCAATAGGCCACAGGTTGGCAAAGCAAGTAACAAGCGAACAAGGTAGTTCTAAAGAAAAATATATATATAGTTTAAAGGAATATTTTCATCAGTAGTTTGACAAAGTTCCTGTGTTTCTTGCGTGCTCAGTTATTTAGTTTTTCGGTGTCTCAGTGAAACAGGAGCATTGAGCTCTGCTCTTGGGTGGAAGATCCCTAGCACCACATGTTTCTGTAGTTTTGGGGATTTGTTAGGTTTTGTCCTGATTTAAAGTAACAATAATTATTTTTAAAAAGTAAAAAGCGCAATGTAATTAAAAAGTCATTTTCCAGCAAGCTTGCCTCTATCAGTAATGGTGCAATATTGTCTTTCCATGCTTTAGCTAATAAGCATGGCTTCGTGCTAGACAGTTTTTCTAGATTTCTAGAATATCTGTAACAAATATTTTGAAATTCACATATTGTAATAAGCTGAGAGACAAAGAGTGCCCAGCATCGTGCATATACGTACCCACAAGCCAGTTCCAGAGAGCTCAGTAAAAATTAATTTTAAAAAAGTACTTATGCAAGGAAAGGCCACACTTCTATCTCCAAAAGAGTCATCATTATAAACTAAACAATCTAACTGTTTTTACAAGGCATTTATAAACATTTCTGCTGGTAACAGCCAGAGCAAAGAGAACTATTACATGGGAATTGGCCACGCAGCAGCCGGCATCACTGTTCTCAGTGTACAGAGGAGTCTACCACAGCCCCAGCAAGACGTTGCTTCTTCCCATGTGGCTGGGCAAGGACTTTTTGTTCCTGCTGACATCCAAAAAAAATAGAATAATACAATAACAGAATGCTTAGAGTTGGAAAGGACCTTGGTTAGAGTTAGTAGGGATCATCGAGTTCCAACCCCCCTGCCCTGGGCAGGGACATCTCCCACTAGACCAGGTTGGTCAAAGCCCCAGGTCAACAGGTGACCCCAATCCATGGAACATCCTCCATGACCACAAAGCATGAGGGATACTTGCGCCACACACTCAGCATGATGCTCTATTCTTGCAATAACCATGACCATGGAGCGCTGAACGGCCCTGAGAAAGGCCCCAGACTTTGTTCTCCTGGTGCCAGAATGAGATGAGCAGTGAGACAACGCAACCAAAGGGCTCAGCAGCCCTCCATCCTCCCAGCAGGGCTGGAAGTCATTGCCTCGCTGATGCCCTGATGGCCCTGTGGTACTCAGAGGGCAGAAGGTTCTTTGGGAACCTTCATTTATGTCCCTACTGAGTAGCCATTTGTCCCACCAAAGACCTTTAACAAATAGAGTACCTTCCCATTAAGCAGATTTTTTTTCATGCTCATAGCAAATAAACCTACAATCCCTTAAGATACTTTATTTACTGCAACCAACAGCATTAACAGGACAATCAGTTCAGCACGTTATTTCTGCTAATTTCTTGAAGAATCACCTCTTTGTAGAAGGGTAATCAAGAGCCAGCACAACATCACCAGCAATCAGAAAAATAAGGTATTGTCAAATTAATTCACGTTTAGCCTATTTAATGAGGCAGAGTCTTTTATATTGCTTCCTACAAAGGATGAAATCATGATAATTTTATAAAATATGCATGGCTGGTATGTAAAGACATGTTTAAAGACTCAAGATAGAGTATGTAACACAGCAGGCTAAATACGACGAGCAAGTCTCAAGTTTCTCCTGACATTCAAATCTCAACACAACTATTAGCTTGCCATTCATCCACCCGTAAAGAGATGCAGAATTAAAAATAGAAGCATTCCCCTCCAGTAAATGACGGTGACTCAATAACTTCTCCATCAGTCTACACACAGGAGTAATCAAACATACAGAAGGATGCTTGGATTTATAAATAACCAGTTAATGCTAAATTCTAGTGAAGAAATCCCAGAGACACAAACAGAAAACAAATCCATCACCCAGAGATCTTTGATGTGTTTTTCAGAAAGCTGGTGGGCAATGCACTTGCAATTATTTTCCAAGCAAAACGGGACTGTCGTAAGAGTTCATCATGGAAAAGCAGTGAAATGTCCAAGTACAGCTGAAACTGCATCAGCCAACTACTTCCTAGAAGCTTTTGCACATGTGGGAGGCAAACTTTGATGAGCACAAGGCTTCATGGCCATGTGATGGGACAACCCAGCTCTGTTCCCTAATTGCCCTTCAGAATCACGGAGGCATCATGAGTGTGTGAAAGCATTTGTGAAACAGCCCGATTAGTGACCTGCACCAGGGATAACCCGAAATGGGGAGCAGACTTGGCGTGATGCAACACGGCAGTAGGGCTTCAAGGGGGGGCCAGACACCTCTCGTGCACAGGTACCTCTCAGCCAAGGCACCTCCTCTGCCATCAGCCTTCAGGCTGCCATTTGCAAAACCACAGTTGCTTTCACAGTGCTCTTATGGAGCACTCTATATGTCTTCACTCCTAGGACACGTCCTTCCTTCAGCTAGGACAGGAGTAACCCCAGCAGTAACCATCCCCTGCGGTTACTGTGCTCCTGGCAATGGAGGGAGAGGGAACACAGCTCAGAAAACGCAGCACACCCATGGCCCTTTATGCATGTAATAGAAACTGCGAGAAAATCCCAATTTTGCTTGACCAGCTCATGGCTGCAGCCACAGAAACAATTTTCCAAGTGTTGTACAGTTAAGAACAATTACCATCCATGATCCCCTTTGTCCTCAAAAATATACTGCAGCCATCAATTTACTTTGCTCCCGTCTGCCAGAGCCAGCAATTACTCCCAAGGAACATTATTGAACTAAAAGGGCTTTTGGCAATCTGCCTAATGTCAAAGGAGCCAGCCAGGCAGAAAAGGGCGACCCAGAGAGACCCACCACCCAGGAGGGTGCCAAAAGCCCCTCCTGTGCTACACCAGGGCCAAGAATTGTCTGCATTCCCCAGTTGAGAGGGACTAGAATTAGATGTTGGAAGGGTTGGCCAAACTCATGGCTTGAGGATGGTGGTGCTGGTGCCATTAGTGCTTTACAGGTCTGGTTTGCTTGATAGGAAGCAGCCCAGAAGATGTGTCTGGATGGCACTTGGGGCAAGCAGGAGGATGCTGCTGAGCACAGGGGGCTTGTCCCACCCCATCCTCTCCAGGAGGTCAGAGCTGCTTCCTCCACCATATGCTGACCCCTCTGCTGACCCCACGGAGCAGGGGTCTCTTGGGGTTCCCTCCCTTGGGTTCCAGCACCCGCTGAGCAGCAAAGGACACACACAGGGGAAGGCACGGATGCAGCTCTGACAAAGGAATGCGCAAAAATATTAATATAAATTAAAAAAAAATGTAATGCATATATATTAAGAAAACCTTGTTCCCCTCCTCAGCCTTCTGCAAGCAGTCCTTGCTATGCCACGGTGCCCACTGGCAGGGAAGGAGAAGATAAAATCATTAACTTTAGGAGAATATTTTCATCAGAAAACAGTGACGCAGGGGCTGCTTCCCCTGGGATGACAGAATAACTCGTACATCCCGCTTCCCTTCCCGTGGCTGCCAGCCATACAAGGGAACTTGGGCTCACCATCTGTTTTTTGCACAAAGAAAGCTGGTATCAGAAAAAGAGAGAAGGACTTTGGCAAGATGAGGGGCAAAGCTGGGGCTCTCCCCTCGCCCCCTCCCAGCCGGGGCAGTGCCGGGACCGTGTCCTCCCCCAGCACAGCACCTTCTCCTCTCATCCATCAGCACCTCCACAGGAAAAACCACACTATTGCTGCCTTACATAATGCTGTGCTTCCTCCTCATCCCTG